AAAATCCATTTTTGTTTTGTTCATAATGATCAATCAGAGAATGTATGATTATATTCAAATCAATTGGAATGATGGGGAATTATTTTCCAAAGCCATTTCCTTCCATGTTAAGTTTTTAATAAAATTAAAAGCTTAAAAGTAAAAATAGTTTGCATGCGATTCCTAATTATTGAAAATTTTTTAATTATACATAATTCTAAAAACTAGTACCTATTATAAGCTAAATGCTTACCACGTTCCTGATCCTTGCTGAACACTTAGGAAATATTAGTTCACTTAGTTCTTATAACAAACTCTAGAAATTTATTATTTCCATCTTACAGCTGAGTAAACTGAAGTTTATAAATGCTATGCTATCTGAGGTTATGATACCAGTAAACAAAGCATGTAGAGTGGACAGGTATATGCTTCCTTTTACATTTATTTTATTTTTATTTATATATGTGTTTGTGTATGTACACATGTGTGTGAGTACCAGTGGAGGCCAGAAGAGGGTGTCAGAATCATAGGCAGTGGTAAGTGCAGGATGCACTCTTAATTGGCAAGACATCAGTTCAGTCGTTTCTGAGCACAAAAGATTTATACTCTGTATTTAATCTCTTGAGGCCTTTTCTGCCAACATTTTTTTACCTTGGTACTTTCTGTTCTACAAACTGCTCTGCATTTTATTATTTTTTTATTCTGCATACAAACACCAAGTTCCATTACATGACTTGCTCTCTCAGGTTTCCACTATGGAGTTTCACTAACATCAGCTGCTCAACAACAAAAGTCATACCCAGCCAAGTTCCAAAAGTGGGGGTCTTTATCCACACTACACTCTATACTTGAGGTATCCATCTCCTGAAAAGATCTGTAACATCTGACCCATGGACATTCCAAAACCATTTATGAACCTAAGGAAATCTCTGGAAAAATAACAATTTATAAAAGTAAAGTTTTCCTAATATTTAGTATAAGAAAGACATAATTTACTGGATATATTTCAAATTTATTATGGGTAGCTTAATTTCCCTGATTTTAACAAATTAATAGGTAGGCAGAAAGTCCTAACAGGTAAATGGGAGTCATTTCTAATGTTAAGTTTGTTTTACAATAAGTTAATACAGCTTAAGGGGGAAAATAAAGATGAAAGGGACCATCACTGAAAAAAAGATCTTGCTGAAAAAATGTCAGTAATATTTTAAACTATTTTTCCTATGTCCCTGGGAATAAAAAGAAATATAATTACAAACAGAAAATATGTACATAACAAAATAATAATTCCTGTTGTGAGTAGGATGACTTTAAAAACAAAATGTGGTAAGTATATGGTATAGAAATGTTTTCCAGAATCGTTGGGATGATGGAATAGAAAGAACTGAGATGGCTTTGAGGTAGGTCTTATGTGTTGTTGTGTATCAGTTTCCTCCAAGATTGAAACACTATTATCCTGCATGAAGATCCTTGAACGGGAATGTAAACAACTCAAAATAGCTTCAGGAAGTTCCTGAAACTGACCAGATTCACCAGGCTCCCCCCCAGCCAGAGTAAGCAATAAAAGCAGAGAGTCTCTCACCGACCAAAAGAGCTAAGCTGCAAAGCAGGCTAGCAGACAAACCAAACTGAAAACGCTGCGATCAGACCACCTGCCTGGAAGTGCCTCAGACCAACTGAGGCATCTGAAAAGGAGAGTCCCACCTGATGAGCTTCCTGCAGGCTGTGCAGTGTGCTCCAACTTTGTGATCTGTCACCCATGCTGGCGTGGGCCTTGGCGATGCAGCTGTCTTTTGAGTCTTTACCATTCCCCGTTAGTAATCCCTTACTCATTCATATCCCTGTAAGTAACTCCAATAAAACTCACTGGTTCACCAAATTGGACTTTGGTAATGAAGGGACACTAGCCCACTCAAGCACGGCTCTGGCCGGCCTTTCCTTTCTCTCCCATTCCCTCTGCCTTGCTAAAGACTGTTTGATTACATTCCTAAAACTAGCCATAACAGTCCATTCCCTTGTTTGGCCACTTCCTCCTCCTGAGGCTGGCTATCAAGGTCCAGCTATCAAAGTATTGAAATCTAGCAATCAAAAGCCACCTTTGGCTCACCTAATTAACATGCCCAATTAAAATTAAACACCTCATCCTAACACGGGGTTTCCCCCTTTTACTTTTATAAATTTCCATTTGCCTATGAGCCATGTCTGGCTCCTCTCTATCCAGAGCAGTCCTTTGTTCCCCTCAGGGACAAATATCCTTACCCCCTCTCCCACGTTCCTCTCCCCTTCTCCCTCATCCCCTATTTCCCATCTTTGTCCCTTATCCCTGCCCTCTGTCCCTCTGAGGCAAACAAATCTCCTTTGTGCTAAGAACTTGGTCTTGGAGTGTCCTTTTTCAGGTGGTATCCGTATGTACTTGGGTCTGTTGTGGGCTCCCTGTCTGGGGTAAGTAGTCATGTGTGTTGCATCTCCCCAGGAAACATTTTGTCACAGGACATACACATATGTGGGCAGTTTCTTGCAAGAAATAAAATTACAATAGAGTATAAAATTCAGTAAGGAGGCAAGACACAGAACTTGCATTTCCTCTTTGCCTATTGATTCAGAGGGGGCAGTTACTTGCTTCACCTTGATTACTATCACAGGAAGCGTAGAGTCCAGCCTTATCCTTAAAATAATGAAAACCACATGAATCTAAAAACTCTACTTCTTCTAATGAGCCCTGCCTTTTCTCACAAGTCTACACATGCTTCTATTATTTGGACTGAAGTGTACTTTATTCTTATTTAGGTTGGTTCTATTATACAATACCTTAAAAATCATGTGCACTGATGTCTACTGCTTGCCAGACATTGTGTTATACACTTGGCATTCATTATCAATGCTTAGAACAATAACAATGCTACCCTCCCACTGATGAGTTCATGGTGGCTCAAGAATGTTGCTGACCAGCAGGAACTTGAGCCAGTATCTGAACTCAGGAGGGCATATTTGAAGGTGCTTGTCAGCAGCTGTTGCCATGGGAAACTTAGCTTACAACTGGTCAACAAGGCTAATTGAAAGCCAGAACGACAATGAAAGACTAGGCACACACTTAAATAATCTGGGTTTTCCATGGCACAGTAAGTATGTGATAGGCATACAGTCATGGGTAGTTTCAATTAGGAAAACCTACCATGACTGGAAAAATAATAGCAGCCACTGTTGACTTGAGGATCCAGAGCAGAGCCAGGCACAACACCTGCAGGAAGGTGAAGAGATGGACGCGGCGCAGGGGGACATGGCGAAGGTAGATGAAGTCGGGCTGATGCTTCAGGGGCATCAGAAGCAGCTTGAGACGGTCCATGAACTGGGGAGGAATGTGGAAGAAAATCCGATGTATTATTTGAAGAGCCAACTGAGTCATTTCCACTCTGCTTCACCAGCCAGGAGGGATGTACATTGTGTATTTCAGGCCAGCAGTGTCCTCTTCAAAGGACAAAGTGCGGTTAGAGAGTAGGAGACTTACATTAGCACACGCAGATCATGTTATCAGCCTTCTAAGTTTTGCTGATTTTTTTTTTCAGAGATGTTAGAAGGTATATAAGATAACGTGGGCAGAAAGGATAAAGTTACAAAGCAAACAGAAATTCTAGCTGTTCATCCTTTACCTTCTGTTTTTACTCTCTGATTCTCCACCCAGAGGGTTCTGTACCTATTTTGGTATGATATACTGAAGGGAGACATCTAACTTACGCATCTGATCCTGCCTCAGTTGTCTTCTCTGAAAGAAGAACAGAAGATACCCCACATTTTAAGCAGCTCAGAGATGGTTTAAAGTATCTAATTTAAAAATGGGAAATGAACATAGTATGTTACTAAATCCTACTTTCTTTGTCTAGGTTATAATTTGATGGACACATCCATATCCACCAATGTATTACCACTTCTATTCAGAAAAAAGCTTCATCCACATTACAGTGAGTTTCAAGACACCAACAAGAAGACTGGGGAGCCCAAGTGAGATTAGCACTGCCATGTATGACCAGTAACAGAAAGGATGGCTGTGCATGTTTGTGCCAAGTGCACCTCACAGATGAAGTGCTGAGTTGACACTGATGATGACGGACAAGATGATGCTTAGCAACACATCACAGGGGCTTTCAGAGGAGAGGTTTGTGGTGGTATTGTGTTCCCCAATATATTGTGTACACTAATAAACATAATGTACACGCTAATAAACTTATCTGGGGTCAGAGAACAGAACAGCCACTAGACATAGAGGCCAGAAAATGGTGATACACACACCTTTAATCCTAGCATTCCCAAAGCAGAGATCCATCTGGATCTCTGTGAGTTCAAAGCCACACTAGAAACAGCCAGGCATGGTGACTCACGCCTTTAATCCCAGGAAGTGATGGCAGGAAGCAGAAAGGTATATAAGGTGTGAGGACCAGGAACTAGAGGCTGGTTAAGCTTTTAGGCTTTTGAGCAGCAGTTCAGCTGAGATCCATTTGGATGAGGACTCAGAAGCTTCCAGTCTGGGGAAACAGGATCAGTGGAGGAAGCTGTGGGGCTTGTTCTGCTTCTCTGATCTTCCAGCATTCACCCCAATACCTGGCTTCAGGTTTGATTTTATTAATGAGACCTTCTACGATTCGTGCTACAGAGGCTGTATAGATATCTACTGAACTGACTAATCAGAAGAGCTCAGAAACAACATTGTGCTGCAGGGAAAGGAGAAGGAAAAGTCATGGACACGTCCACAACCTTCCTCAGAGCCATTGCCCACTTGAGGGGTTTCTTTCTCCCTTCAGAAAACTTTTCTTCACTATAAAGATTAGATTTCAATTGTTTTATTTTATTTATTTATTTTGCTAAACCAATCTTATCAAAAGGGCCTAAAAGAGAAAGAATCAAGAGAAAAACAAGGAACAGTGAAAAGGCATTTGGGACAATAGTAACCCGCCAGGGGTTACACCGTTCACTAGCTGTCCCCACAATCTTCCTGCCACCAATTGTTATGAGATGGTTGGTTCTTTCCTTCTCTTTCTAGACAGGTACTCAGTTCCAGCCATTGATAGAGCCCCTGGAACACTCTGAAACAAATCTCTGATTTAGACGAGATCCTTAAGGGCAAACAAAAATTAATAACTATTAGTTTCTAGGCATCTAATGTTCATATTATCTCACTTGGAGAGGAGAGAACATTTATAATGGCAGACAAAAAAAATAAAATATTTTACAAAGTTATACTTCCTAAACACTTCATTGGCACAAATAAACTCATGCTGCCATTCACCTAGTGCAGCCTATGAAGAACTACTTTGTGTTTCATAACAACTATCCCAGTGCGGAAGAACTCTTCCACTGGACCAAAACCAGGAATAGTAAAGTAGCCTTGCTTTTGGGGGGTCTGGCCATTTGCCCAGATCTATCTGACTTTAAAACCAAGTTAATATAAATGCAATAAATGAAAGCAAGGGCTGTTTTGAAGGAGTTCAAATGAATTCTTATGATGTTCACAGAACACGCAGTCTTTTCCCATTAAAACATTACAGAGTGCTAAATAAGGCTACAATTAACAGGGTGCCAGAAAGCGGCAGAACTTCCAGTTTCCTGGTGCCAATTAAATTAAACCTCTATCGAGAGACAAAGCCTCTCACAAAGTTTTCCCTAGCAAGTTTTTTTAAAAAGTGGACCAGGGGCAGAAGTGGGGGCATTGGCAAGGGCATTGGCCATGGTGGTCACTTCAACTGAAGCTGTGAACAGTTGAAATTTTTGATGAAAGCAATACCTAATACACATTCATTTTAACTGTTTATTGCTGCAAAACTTTTGACCACTGAGCGTGCAATGAGGAACTGCCTGCTGTCTGTGAAGGTTAAGATAAGTGCACAAATAACACCCTGATGGACATGGTGGATGTCCATCTTAAGAGGGGAAAAAAGGTGAAGAGACAGATGAGGAAAGAATACAGAGAAAAGGAAGATGAGGAGGAGGAGGGACAAGGAGAAGGAGGGGAGGGAGAGGAAGAGGTGGGGATGGTGCGGGCGGCAGTGTTGGGGACAGTAGCACAGAGCCCACTTCCTCACCAGGTGACATTAAGCATCCCCTTTCAGTAATGGGCATTCAGAATAACATTTCTCGACACTGGTCAGTTTTGTTGATTACATCAGGCAAAAGATTGAGGAAGCAGAAAATGAATGTATTTTAAAGAGTCAGTGGTTAATGATTAGTGCCTTCACCAAAGATCTACTACTGGCCTCTCCTCCTCTGAGGAATGCATCGCTTGCTCAGGCTGCTGTGGAAGCTTACCTGCACACCGTTGAGCGAGGCCACCCCCATATACAGGAACACACCATACAGAACAGGCATGGGGATAAACTGGAGAGGAAAACAATGAAAACAGGTTCAAAACAACAGTGAAGATAGTTGGGGAGAGGAATCATTTAAATGAAGGGTAAATCTGAAACTTAAACACAGCATGTAACAACAGAGCAACCTCAAATTAGTTAGTGCATTGATCTCATCAATTGATAAAATTCTAAGCTTTGTATTAGAACTAAATGAAGCTGAAGGGAACTTTCGAATCAATTTCATTTTCTTCTTCTTTTTTTAATAATGGGCATGCATGGCCTCAACACTACTTTTTTAATGGGAAACTGTTTCAGCTTCCCTTTGCTCTTAAAAGCACTGGACTATGCAACCCAGATGTTTGCGTGGGCTATGAGGTACAGACAGAGGTGGCAAATTGCCTCACTCTGAAGCCAGGATCTTTTGTAACAGTCTGTTGATTTTCTCCTTACTAATTTTTGCCAAAAGATATATCAGCTTGTGTGAAAATGCCTCTTTCAGTAAAATAAACATCAAATGGCTGTTCCTTTTCTCCTCAGGACTATTAAGTTACACACTAATGAGAATATGGTTTGAAAGGAGCACGAAGCACCTGGAAGCAATTAATTACCCATATGGATTAATGCACATCTTTTAAAACTCAATTAATATTTTGTGCGTTATTTAGTAAAATATCTTCTACAACAACAGGAAGTGTTTTAACAATGAGAAGCTCTAATCCAATGTGTGCATATTCTTTTCCCCTAGACCTGTGAAATGCAAGCCTATCACATTTGAGAATCAAGCACAGTATTCTAATTCTGAGAAATCTTCTGTCTGGATGACAAGAGGCATCAACCTTGGGTTTGAAAAGAAGTTCAAGTAACTGAAGGACTTTTCAAAGCTCAAATACTAAAATGGAAATGTAATTAAGGTCAGCCAGTAAATCCACATGTGGGAGGCTACTGTAACCGAAGACAGAGTATTCCTTTAAGGGTAGAATTTTAAAACTACTGCATGTGTGAAATGAAGCACCATTTCTAGAACCATCTTATTGCAATTCCCTGATGCTGTTCTGCCTTGGACCCTCTGGCCACCATTAGAGAACTAGTGAATCCTAAAATGGACTGCGACTGCCTCCAGTTGTTACTGGTTAGTCCCAGGAATGGCCAAACTTCAGTAGAGAAAAGTACACACTTCTAAAAACTATCCATGTTTTCTCTGAAATGGGTTAGCAATTTTACCAGAACTGATTTTAATCTTGAGCTCAGAAAAGAATAAAAGAGAAAAGGAATTGAACGATAAAGTGGGTAGGAGGGCCATGCTGGCGGTCAGACAGTATGCTGCAATACCCAGCAGTGACCACAGAGCGGTAGACACAGCCCACTCAAGTCACCTGCGCTCAAGCACCAGCCTTTCTTTTGGCATATGAGTGCTCAGGCTACTTACAACTCTTTTTGTTTTGTTTTTGTTTTATTTTATTTTATTTTATTTTATTTTATTTTATTTTATTTTATTTTACAATACCATTCAGTTCTACATAACAGCCACAGATTCCCTTGTTCTCCCCCTTCCTGCCCCCCTCCCCTTCCCCAAAGCCCACCCCCCCATTCCCACCTCCTCCAGAGCAAAGCTTCCCCAGGACTGAGATCGACCTGATAGACTCAGTCCAGGCAGGTCCAGTCCCCTCCTCCCAAATTGAGCCAAGCGTCCCTGCATAAGTCCCAGGTTTCAAACAGCTAACTCATGCAATGAGCCCAGGACCTGGTACCACTGCCTAGATGCCTCCCGAACAGATCAAGCCAATCAACTACTTACAACTCTTTATGGACATTTTCCAAAAAGAAATAAATAAGACTAGTAAACAATCTAATTTATTTCTCTGACTCATTTTTAAAGCATCTATTTTCCCTCAATAGGTGATGATTTCTTTTCATTTATTGTTACATTCCTAATGCTCCAAATAAGGAAGGAGAAGTAGATGGAGGAAAGAACAGTTAATTCATGGGAAAATATTCGTGTTTCTTCAGTAGTTACTTTTTTAAAAAATTTATTTTTATTCCATGTGCATTCATGTTTTGTCTGCATGTGTGTCTGTGTGAGGGTGTTAATTCCCCTGGAACTGGAGTTACAGACAGTTGCGAGCTGCCCTGTGGGTGCTGGGATTTGAACCTAGGTCCTCTGGAAGAGCAGTCAGTGCTCTTAACGGCTGAGCCATCTCTCCAGCACCCCCAGTGGTCATTTTTTTTTTTTTTTTTTTTTTTTAATCTAAGTAAAGTATTTCTCCAGCTTGGAAAGTGTCACAAAAGGTCTATCCTTACTTGGTCTTAACGAAACATTTTTTTTTTCAAATGTGCTTCTACATAGCAAAGAAACATTGTGCGTTGGGCCTTAAATTCATTCTCTGAATTAATGTTAACGGATTTCACCCCATCTGCAACACAGAATGTCATGGATGGATGCAGAAATTAGAGATATGAATGTTTTATATATATACATCCATATATATATATGGATGTATATTTATGTATATTTATGGATGTATATTTATGTATCTATGTGTGTGTATACATCCATTTTTTGAATATACTATATTCAAATATATATACATACATACACACATTCAACTGAGAGAAAATAGTACACATAAGAAAAGCTGTAAAACTGATTTTTTGTTAGATTCAATATGATATAAATTCTTATGAAATTTTCATTTTCTTCACAACAGTATGTTTCAATATAAATCCCATAATGGAACCCCTAATGAAACCTGACAGAATTGTTGGGGGTAGAGGTATCTTTTATAGAATTTAGTTCATGAATCATATCAGAAGGTCAATGTTTAAAAGTTAATCACATTAGAATCATTCACCAAAACAGAAAGTTCTCAAAAGAAGGGGAAAAAATGCTTTTAAAAGTGAGAGCTACCCAGGGTATGGTACCTCATGCTTGTTGTCTTAGCATTTAAGAGGCTGAGGCCGGAGGATTGCCATGAATATATGAGTTCAAGGCCAGCCTAGGCTAGTGTGTGACAATACCTATAAATATTGAATTCTATCAAAAATTAATTTTAAATTAAAGTGGAATAATACAGTAGTAGTGGGCAATCATTTTTACAAAGTAAGGCAGGAGAAATTAAAAATACCCATTTCAGAGGCACATCAAGATTGCTAAATAGTAACCTGTGTAAACAATTATATCATCAATAATATCCAGGAAGCAAAAAAGGATAATTACGAAGAAGCGTTACATTCAATAAACACTAAAAATGAAAAATTAAAAGACTAATCCTATAATCATATAGAATAATAAAAGTGAGATGAAATAAAAATAAAATTTAACATCTTAATTTTATGTCATCAAATTTTCTAATTCTGGTGAATGGGACTCTATATTTTCCCCTTGTATCTCCTGGTGCTTTGCCAATAGTAGCAGAACATTCCCAGAAGGAAAAATATGAAAGGATATTTGATTAAAAGGGAAAACTGAGATCTCTTGATGGTTTTATGTTCAGCCTGCCTGCATGTATGCTTGTGCATATGTGTGTGCATGTTGTCTAAAACTAAAAAGTTAGGTCTTGAGTAAGACATGGGTAACAGAAGTTGAACAGACCTGGGTTTGGATTCTCGCTACCAACTGTAGAATAGAGACACTTGTTTGTTTTTCTTAACTCTGAGCATCCCTACGTAGGAAACACCTATGATAGACTACATAACAGAAAACATCTTGCCAATTAGTTAGTTAATATGACAACTAACAAATGATAAATGTAGAGTTTATGCCATCCTTATCTGAAGACGTTGACTGACAAGCTGAGGAAGCTGCCTATAGTTTCCAACCACAGGTCTTCCTGTTTCCTCCTTGATGAGGAAAGGGTAGGGAGGGTGGCTAGGATACAGGGAGGGCTGGCTGGAAGGTATGACTTGAAGAACTGCTCTATTTAATTTCTACTATATTGCTCTTTCAGCTAACCTGCCTTGGCAATACTTTATTATCATAATGCCCTAACTCTCTTAAGTCTAAATAATCTATACGGATAGAGAACCTCCAGTACTCAGCCTGGAATGAGGTCTGAAGAGGAGTTTATGAAAGTTACATAACTTTCTCCACATAAGGATTCCAAATGAGATCAAAGAATCTGGGAAAGATAATCTTATGGGAGGAAAAACAGCAGAGATCCTTTGAAGGATAAGTACCACGTTTTATTTTGAAAGGCACACATTATACGAGGTTACAGGACTACTTCTGTGCCAGAACTTCCAGAGTTCAAATCTTGTCTATACCACCTATGCATTTTGAAGTCTAGTGAGTAATTGATATTTTCCTATAGTTAAAGTAGAGATATTATTCATATAGTTCTTCAAAGTACCGATGGAAGACTAAATTTTTTAAATCTGTGATGACTCCTTAATCTGAGGCCAAGCTCAACAGACAGAAGCTTTGGTCGTACCCTGGTCCTCTCCACCACAGCTGCCCTGCTTCCACGGTACAGGACTGCAAGCGGAGACCAAGTATCTGCCAAAGTCCAAATTAAAGGCCGTCTCCTACACTTTAGTGCACTAACAAATCTTAAAGATAACTTGTGGCCACGCCTCATGTTAAAGATAAACTAGTCCATGCAGAGGCAGCAGAAGCAGCCGTGAACTTTGCTTGATCTCTGTTTCTTGCGTCTTGCCAGGAAAACAGGGAAAGACAGCTCAGGGAACCGCCTTTCATCTCTGTGCTGCTCTGTGATCAGCAATTCCAGAACTCTGGCTGCAAACGCTCAGCGGAAGCCATGTCGCCAGCCTGGGAAGCCAGCTATTCTTACTTCCCAGCAGCGCTGTGCTAAGCAATGATGCGACGTGACGCTTTGAGGCATCTGTGACTGTAGCTGGCCAGGGTCATGGGGTACCCTCATGAACTCAAAGCTGCTACACTGTAATTCCTTACATTCCTCCACATGAAAGACGGATTTCGGCACAGAGATCAAAACGGAGGCCATAAACTTCACGTTCAAAGTACCCCTTGCAATAGTAGGCAACCACCTATATGGCTTCACGCATGCAAGAAAATTGCTCATCTCATCTCAGACCATTAAACGTGTAAGGGGAAAAAGGAGTCGGGCAGGGAAGGTGTTAAACCATTTCAGTTTTTAAAAGCTCACTCATAACTCTATTTCCTGTATGTCTGATCTAACTTTCCAAGGCACAATCTTAAGTAAAACTATTCTCTGAAGTTACCACCTGTTGCTTTAAAAAGAAAAAAAAAAAGGCTGTCTGTCATATGAGAGGACAACTCGTGACACCACTTTCTGCACGCATTTTGAGGTTAATTATTAATTGTACCTTTTCCTTAGCCACGGCTTACATTGAACTGTACCCTTAACCTCTGCTTCTTCCTGTATTGACTTGGTGACGCTAACGAGGCATCGCTGACCCATGCACATAACTTGCCAAACAGTGCTGAGGAGGGCACGTGACCTGAAAGAGCCATTCTTATCGGGAGATGCAATTCCTGCAGCAAGGGACAGCTAACTTACTCAAGCGAGGGGCAGAGGCTCCGGAATAAAGGCTGCTTCAACCCTGCTGCTGTGCCATCAGGTGTGCCACAGCCCACCGTGAGCTAAACTGGCAAAACAATTTCATTTCCTACATCTGAGAAAATCCTGGCTTAAAGATACATGCTGAAGCTGGGCGGTGGTGGTGTGCACCTTTAATCCCAGCACTCAGGAAGCAGAGGCAGGAGGATCTCTGAGTTCGAGGCCAGCCCAGTCTACAGAGTGAGTTCCAGGACAGCCAAGGCTACAGAAAGAAACATGTGTTGAATTACTTTTTTCACTAATGGAGACAAAGACTCTTCAGATGAATCACCATTGCCAGACAGAAATACCCAAAGGCGGGTGCAAGTGGGGCTCATGGCTCCCTGGCACTCCCCGCTCTTCTTAATGAGTTCTGACCTCTTCCTGTACGTACCAAGGTGCACCATATACAGATGGGTAAAAAGGTTCACTGCAAAAACCCAAGGCTTTCAGCTTCAACTTCTCTGCAGTTTGACTTGGGTACAGAGTAAGGGATAGTCAGGGAGTCCTGTTACCAGCTCTGAGTCTCTTCAATCTTTCTAAAGATAACAATTTGAACCGTTTTTATTTTGCATGCCCCTTCAGAACCATACCTGCCCACAGGTGGGTTCCCCATGACTAAAGCTGAGTTTTCTGCAACACAATCATGGAAGTTTTACATACAACTGCCTTTCCTGAAGCAGGATTTTATACCATTTTAATGCAAACAAATCATATACAAGATAAAATGGAAGGCTGGGTGATGGTGGGCAGATTTGAAAGCTGTGAAAGGATTTCTGCCTGCCTGTCCCTCCTTAGAAACGTTTTTTCTAGGTGGTCCCATCAAAGCAAGGCTGCACTCTAGCGGCATACTGCATGAGCCCACCTGCAGGAAACTGGTGCTTCCTACAGTACAGGGACTTAACTGCCCACAGTGACCTCTCCAAATGTGACCTCACTGTGTGAAGTCAACGTGTCACTAAGCATTTCAGCCAGCCTCTTATGCTAGGACCTGCCAGGGGGAAAGAAACAGCTAAGGCCCTTGGCAGAAGGTACAAGGCTTCATTAACCCAGGGGTCCTCAACCTTCCTAGTGCTTCAACCCTTTAGTACAGTTCCTCATGTGGTGACTCCAACCACAAAATTACTTCATTACTACTTTATAACTGTAAGTTTGCTATTATCATGAATCATAATGTAAATATCTGTGTTTTCTGGTTGTCTTAAGTGACCCCTATGAAAGAATGGTTCAACTCCAAAGAGGCCGTAACTCACAGGTCGAGAACCACTGCACTAAGCCTTTAAAGCCACCTCCTTGCATTTATAGAACTGACCGTGGTTTTTCCTCTGTCCCTACGGGACACAGGCCATAAATAATTTCTCTGACACTGTTTTTAACCACAGTTCTTCTGTGGGTCACCTGATTTACACAGTCCTTCGTGACTTGGTTCATAAGTTAACCAGAAAACTGAAGCTATGGAAACCAAGGGTTAATGGTGGATCATCAAGTATTTTAACTATCTACCAATTATTTCATACCAAATGAATGCATGAGTCTAGTACTGGAAAGGTAAAGTTGGTCTTCAGATTTGGATGTTATAGGTCCTTCTTCCAAAACTCGTTGACTGGCCACTGGTAGAAACTTGCTAGTCTGAGAGAAGGTAAGCTTTTGCTGCTCACTGTCACACTTGAATGTTTTAGAGTCATGTACTATGACGCCATTACCTGTACAACCAAATAGGCATCCAAAAGTCTTAAAAATTAAACTTTAAAAATAAAATTTTTCAGTTGGAATAATGGTAAGCTATTGTTAACAGTGGTTACTCACAGTTGTTAGGTCTGGGTGAAGTTTGTGCTCTACACAGTACCACAAAGTGTAAGATGCAAATTACCAATAACTGGTTAGGGATGTTTTTATAACAGAAAAAAGAGAGAGAGAAGCTAGCTTGTATCACAAAACAGGAAGCTTCATGAGCAAAAAAACGTTAACTTTCTTCTTTAGTTCTTTTTCCTAAAGGGGCCATTGTATGTATGTTGCTCTGTCCACACAGATGCCAACCCACCGCATCAACCAACCGATATGTTGATTTCCAACCTTCTAAATATTCTACCATGCAATGATTCTTCAAAAAGTTCATTTCTAAAGGTTTCCAATTATCAATCAGTCATTTTATTCTCCTGTCCCTTTCAGCACTAACACGCCTCTTGATTCAAGGAAAAACAGAAATGTGGTTATAATTAAAAATAGTGGAAAGAAATTCACAGTGATCATGTGAATCACTAGAGTTCTGTGGGGGTGTGGCAAGGGGCGGAACACCTTAGGAACAAGCAGGTGGATAGGATGGATAGAAAACAAAGGGAATAAAAAGCCTGTGTGGGGCAGGGGGGAAGACAAGTCAGATGGGCATGTATGACACTGCCCTTCTATAAGTCAGAGGAGGTTTCAGTATTGGTGATATCAGATGGTTCCAACAAAAAACCAGAAAAATAATAGTATAGGAAGGAATGCAGGGGTAGAGGGAAAATCAAGACAGATATTTTTAAAGTCCTTGATCTAATTGGCCCCTGCTTCCATGCGCTATGAAATCTTGCAAGCATTTCACATTCATGTGTCCAGCTACCAGTCAGTGTTCCAAGGAAGAGGAAGAGGTGAGTGTTTTACGTACTTACCTTCAAGATGGGAGCCATGAAGACTGACAGGCCAGTCAGAATAAACACAAGAGTTCCAGTGACTCTTTGTTCCCTGAAACAACATCAAAGATCATGAATCTACCTCCAGTTTTCACAGACCTTCCGAGAAAGACCAAATCAGCATTGGGCGAAAGCATCAAAGATTTTGGTAGAAGGTACTTGAGATCTCAAAAATATCATATGACTCCAATCTAAGTGGTAACTTTAAAAAAAAAAATCTTAAAACCATTGAACTCAGGAAGAAAAAAAGTGATTCTTCTAAAGCTTTTGCTCCTTCCAGAACCAAGAAAGAAAAATCACTTGCTCTTGGTCCATCAATTACTAGCTTCTTTGAAGCCCTTATTTTTCAAACAACTTGTGCTGTTGTGTAATTATACCTTCTTTCATGGGAGACAGATATTACATTGTCCCACATTCTAATTAACAAACAGCTCAGGGAAATTTCATGAGTGCAATAAATCTCAACAGTCTAATTTCCAAATCTGCAACAACAAAAGTACTTTTTAACAAATATGATACGCGTCCAACACCCCTTCCACACCCCCAAGAAAGAATCACCCACTGTTGAGGCATGGGAAATGCTGGCTCTCTTGTGTGAGCTATGCACTGTAGCTCTAGTGAGCAAAGCTTGCTATGACAAAAAACAAAAACCAAAAAACAAAATACTCAATGGTGTACAGAGTTCTTCTACCACTAACCTTCGCAACTCCTCTAACTTAATATTTGAAGGTTATAGTTCCTCAAGTTCTTATGGGGACAGAAATAAGCTGGAAAATGAGAATTCCTAACTGATTCATAGAATGCTAGAAATCATGGCAGACTTAAGGGCTCCGAGTTCTACACATGACCAAGGCAGAGCACTTCTACAGGACTCAGCTGTATACTGAAGAAAATAAATCATGGATGCTTTTATGTTGCATCACTTAATACTACAGAAATCAAGAAAACTTACATATACTTAGTTTACTATCAGAAGTAAACTAAGGGCTGGAGAGACAGCTCAGAGGTTAGGAGCACTGGCTGCTCTTCCAGAGGTCCTGAGTTCAATTCCCAGCAACCACATGGAGGCTGACAACCATCTATAATGAGATCTGGTCTTCTGGAGTGCAGGAAGAACACTGTATACATAATAAATAAATCTTTAAAAAAGTTAAAAAAAAGAAGTAAACTGAAAGTTACTAGTTATACTTTTTTATTAAAACATCCTTTCTGGCTGGGTGGTAGTGGAATACACCTTTAATCCCAGTACTTGGGAGGCAGAGGTAGGCAGATCTCTGAGTTTGAGGACAGACTGGTCTACACAGCAAGTACCAGGACAGCCAGGGTTACACAGAGAAACTCTGTCTCTAAAAATCAAAACCAACCAACTAAACAAAAAAGTCCTTTCTGGAAAAGATAATTTAGTAATAAAGTAACTATCACATCCATCCCATCCCCAGATTATGTCCACCTCCATATGACTGAGACAAAGATGTGTGTACACGTGGGCTTTCTAGGGCCATCATCCTGTGACAACGCACCTCACTCCCAGAAACTTTGGTTGCTCTCCAGGTGCAGACGTCTCTGTCTCCATCTTCAGACTGTCGATGTGAGCAATGGAGATGACAGTAGCAGCCACGTACCAGGGGAGAGCCATGAAGGAGCACACCACCATGAGGATGGCCACCCAAAAGAGGTCCAGGTGATAGCCAGCTCCCTTCTGCAGAAAGAAGTCACAGCGTGGGGACACAGAACACCCATAATTATCCTCTAGCTGTCTTTAGGCACTGGCATTATGATTAACAAAAGAAGCTTGTTCTGCTTGATAAAAATCTCTCTTATAAGGAAGCCCTTGGAGGAGGGATTTCCCTTCCTCATAATACTCCTCCAGTGTTAAACACAAAGCCATCTCCTCCGGCACCTGTGCAGATAATATGCTATTATAATTCTGAATAATTAATTTAGATATATGTCCACTTCTCTTAGTATCTACTCATTGTAAATGAACCCTTTCTGCATCCAATTTGGTAACACCCTCCACTTAAAAAAAAAAAAAGAAGGTGGGGCCTTATTTGGAGAGTTACTGGGATCATTCAATGAAGTAACCACAACAAAGGACCTTGTAACCACATACAAGGGTGGAGCTATTATGTGGTATGCGCTCATTGAGGGAGGCAGTGGTCAGGGTGGTAGTGGCTGTTAAAAGTATTATGACCAGTGCCTGAAAAGCAACAGACCATCTTCTCTGTGTGACTGTCTTTTACTTATGATGCTACTAGGTATATGTAAAGATCCCCTAAACAATCCTGCGATGGCATGTAGATAATCATCTCTCACTTCTCATAGCCTATGAGTATAATTGTTTAACCACTTAGTAGCCACCATCATTAAAGCAAAGAATACTCCCTTAATCAAAACAGACTGATTCCAAACACCACCCTGTGGTCACAATAACATTTACTGACTGGACGAGCAGACAATGCGACAACAGTTCCAGCTCCTTCACTCACTAAATAAATACTGTTCATCGTGTCTCCTGTGTTTTTCTGTGGTTGTATTTCTCTGTTCTATTTATGAAGAAACCAAAAGCTCATACCCCTGTGGAGCCCAGGAAACTAGAGCTGCCCATTCTCACAGCATGAGGGGAGCAGTACCAAGAGCCAGACTATGGCTGATCCAAGAGAATAGAGAGGCTGCCCTCGGAGATGGGGATGTGATTTACACCACCAACCCAGGGAGTGTTATCATTCGGATCCTGTTACACTTTGTCAGAACACCGCTCTCCTCTAAGGGAAGCGCCAAGCTTGCACCCACGGCTTGCACACAAGGCCCATGTTCTCAGAGAATGCCTAGCAGGAAGGAGAGCTTGCACAGAAGCAAAGGCATGTTCTCACAAGGCCGGGTTTGACTGCAAGCAGACCTCCACTCATGAGACCAACGTTAATGTACATGTAGAGAATCAGCCTGCTCTAGGCTATGATTTGAAAGTGGAATAAGTCAGAAGAGGAGAAGGCAAACTATGGGGTGGGATGACATAAATTTATTCTCTAATAACCAAAGAAGTAAGTATCATGATATAGTTGAGATCACAGTCATTCATTTTCTCAACAAATAATTGCCCGGCAACTTAGTACCACCAGGCATGATTCTAGCTGCTGCTGACACATCTGTGAGCAAACAAACAAAAAATCCTCTTCTCATGGAGTTTCCCCTACTGTGCGAGGCAATAATGAACAACATCCATTTTAAAAGCTTCTTACTTGGTAGTAAGTCCTGAGAGGAACCGGAATAACTTGGGTTTGCATCGGGTAGAAGATGGGATACCACTGGAGGGCTTTTAGTAGAGGAGTGATATAATTGCTCTGTTCTAAGCATGGTGGCTACTGTGTCATGAACAAACTGGATAGGGTCGAGGACAGCGGGACCAGTGAAGAGGCAGATGCCACAGTTCATTTACGAGATTATGGTGATGAAGACAGAGGTGGTTCCAACTGTCCATTGAGAATTGCCCTCTCCTACCAGTGTTTATGTCTACGATGCTGCTGCAGGGCTATTTAGGATCTGGACTTTGGTAGAACTAATGTCTTCAGCCCTAACTTTCCTGACCCCCCCCCCCTTGAATTTTACATCAACACCACATTCAGCCACATGAGAATCCTTCAATGTGTTTCCCTCATTAATGCCTTTTGTGTCACTCATGTTAACATCTACCTGGCATAGGTTCCACTCTTCTCCTTGGCTCAGTCTTACTTATTGAAGACTGAAACTGGCTTTCATCTTTCCTGGTAGTTTAAAGACACTGAGTCCAGAGATGAAAAAAAGCCCAATAAATTTATGTCGTCAAATGTTAACATTCAAGGCTTGCTAACTTTCAAGACTTACAATGTCTAGGTCAATGTCCTACGATACACTAAAGTCTAGAGACACAATGTTGAAAAGATGGTAAAAGCTTTGCCCCAGGCTACTGCTATAAACTCTTTCCATGCCAACACTTGCCTTAGAGAAGCCATTTCTACAAACCAGCTCAGATATGCATGAAAACAAGCCTCTCCCAAAGGCATGCCTTAGCTAGAAGCATCTGAATGGCTCAGTTTGTGTGGAAATAAAATAATGTGCAAATACTGGCACCCTTTATCTAAAAACTGTAAAAAGGATAAGAAACAGAAATATTCAAAAATAGCCTAAACTTATCCACTCCTTACCCCCTCCCCATTGCTACTGGCTTTTCTAGAATCTCTTGGAGTATACAGCAGCCTCATTTCACCCAGTTCCCCCACCCATTCTCACTGCTGCAAGCGTGAGAATTTCAAATGCAATTCTTCAAACTTACATTCTATCACTTAACTTATAAGTTAAAGTCCAGCCTCTTCCTTCTGGTCTCAGCTCAAATCCCCCCTTTCCTTCACATGAACCAGCACCCTTCAGCCCTGCAGGCTGCCATCACCACAGCCTGTTACTCCTGTCCCTTCACAACTGACTGTCTTCACAAGCTAATTTTTAAACATCATAATCAATATATGACACTTCCCTAATCCAAATCTTTCAGTGGCTTCCAGCTTTCACTTATAATACAATAATAATGAAAACCAAAACAGTATAAAACTATCTGTAAGGATATGCATGGGCATTTATTTTTATAACTATGGGCCACTCCACACTCTGGCCAACTTCTAGCAGTGTCTGGAGGTATTTTTTGAATACCAAATCTTGGGGAAAGAGGTACAACTGGCCACCCTGGACAGAGCCCAGACATACTGACAAATGGCTGTCAGTACACGGAAGATCCACCTGCCAACAGGATTGTTCAAACCGGCACAAACGCTGGAGTTGACAAGCCTCGTGTTGTGTGGTCTGAGCCTGCTCCTTTTGGCCTCAACTTGAGTCACTTGCTCTCTTGGTCTGCCCTCTGCCTCTTGATACGCTAGGCTCCTTCTCACTCTGGGGCTTTTGTGTGGCAAACTATTATTGAATAAACATTTATTGAAGACTTATTCTGTACTAGGCCCTGTTTTCAATTAAACAGCGAGTAAGACAAACATCCTTCCTTACAGAGGATGCAGGTGACTAGCTGAAGTAAGGCACACAAGCAAGCGACCTAATGCATGCAGGACACAAGGCACAAAGAAAAACCGGGTCAGCTCCAACCTTGACACTTCCTTCCGGGAAGAGACCAGTTATTAAAACGGTTTTACCTTCCGCATTCAGCACAAGTGTCTGGTATATAAGAAGCAATCTAAAACTGTCCTTGACTTCATGACTATTAAACCCAAAGGATATTCTATCTTTTGAAACCGCAAAGTATTTTAAGCACAAAACAGAAATGGTCTCTTTGAAACCTCATACCCCTTGCTAATATGGAACAAAAAATAATTTAGGACTAAGTCCACCAAAAAAAAATAATAAAAATAGAAAAGAGAGAAAGAGACCAGAAGCCTAATGTTCAGATGTGGTATGAGGATGAAAAAAAAAACCAAGAGCTAGGAGTCAGACACAGACGTGGGACAAGCCTTCATCATGGCAGGAACATACAGGATTTGGGTCACGAAGAATGTCCCACCAGGAGGTATCAGGTGAGGAGCATGAAAGGACTCAGGTTTGCATGAAAATTAAAATAGGAATTCACAGAGGTCTGGAAAAGATACTAGAAACACTGAGGATGAAATGTTTCAGTGTGTCTCATCCACATGTGGCTTTAAACCACGGAAGCAGCCACTTTGAGGGGCGGGGATGATGGGCTTGCACATTCTTGAGTTAACATCTCTCTCACACAGTGTCATAAGCCTGAGGACCACGTGACCAAGACAATAAAGCATGTCAGTTATGTGTGTTTACTGAGGCTAACATGGAACTGTGTGTGGTGGGCCACATAAAAGCTGGCAAGAAGAATCAACCATGGGGCTTACTCGGAACATATTTTGGCTGAGAAGTAAGGATGAAGTAACTGCACAAAGCACTGTATGAGCCACCACGTGACCACTGGCACAGCGTAACATAAATCACTAAGAAAAAACAAAAAGCAAGGGCAATAAAAATCACATTAGGGGTGAAGGAAGATGTCGCTGGGGGTTTTATATTTAGAAATGTTTAAAGGATGGAGCTGCTTTTAATGAACAGCAATGACTGAGGAGTGAGGAACAGATCTTCCAGCCCACAGCACCAAGAGAACTGTGAGAATCAAGAAACCAAAACCATTTAAACAGAGCACTGGCCAGCACTCGCAACAAAATGTTTGAAATCTAGGTTGACATCGTTTTACAAGGTTCTTTAAATGTCAGGCTGGGAGAAACAGAGAGTCAAGTTTAGACGGCCAAGGTGCTTTAGACGTCGGACCAACCTGTAAGAACGTCACTTTAAGAACAACAACAACAACAAAAATGTGTTTGAAGTAGCGAGGGAAGTTGGTTTCTGATGCTTCAATGGCTAAACTATTACAAAAATCTAGCTTGAAATGAGAGTGCTAGATCCAAGATTATGATAACAGGGACAGAAATGAAAAATACAGAACAAGGTAAAAGTTTGGGAGTTTTTTGTTTGTTTTTTAGTTAAAAATAAACCATGAAAGTATCATATTTAAATGAAGTGTTTCACCACAAAGTACGTCAAAGGAAAGTGATTGCCAGGATTTTATGATATTTATCTCTAGATAATGGTCCTAAATGATTTCTGCCCCCTGTACATAACTCTTGAAGTCACTCTTTTGGGGTGGCCTATCTCTGGCTCTGCAGTCTGAAGCGGGCTCTGCTGCAGCCTCTGACAATGACCTCGGAGAAGTACTTGACCTTGATGAACCTGGTTTGCTTTTGAGACCTCTGCGGGTAGGATAAAGGGCCTGACTAGCCCAAATGGCCCCCAAAGAAGCCAAGAGTCACGGTGTTGCTATCTCAGTGTGGGGTTGTCCAGAGGAGCGGAAAGGTAGCTGTCATCTCAGCGGGAGCCACCGAGTCCCAGAACCACAGCAAATGCCACCCAAGCATGCTGCTCTCATCGCTGAAGCACCTCCACCTCTCCTGCCACCTCAGGCTTTCCTCTTGAATCAAGTTCATAGCATTTAGTGTCTTTTACAATTTCAGGCAGAATCTCCAATTTGTGTATTCCACAGCTCTCATTTCCTAGCAAAAAGGAGACCAAAACCCTTTCCAGAGGTCAAAATCTTTGATTCGCCATGACACGTCATCCGGTGGCATTGGATTTGTGACAAATGACTGGCATTCACACCATTACCACCATTATGAAAAAGAATAGTTTCAAGTAAACAATTCTAAAAGGGACAGAAACTCATTTTTTTTTTTTTTTTTTTTTTTGTATACCCATGTCTCATTTTAAGGGCAAACACGTTCTCAAGTTTCCTATGAAGCATAGGCAAATAAAATGCTTATCTATTTTATCCATCCTAAATACACTGAATTCTCAATTCTCAATAAGAAAATATGATGAGCATTCAAATAATAGAAATGCACCTCTAAATGTACACACCAAAATTTTGCCAGTGACAGATTAAAATTTTAAGTGGGTTTCCAATATTTTCAGATTAAAAAATGCATTAGTCCAAGTCTGTGTTTAGCCTTTCCATAAAATAACCAACACTCAGACCCCTCCTAATACTAAAGAGAGTCAATAGAGAGCTGGGCATCTCTCAGTCTTCCCAATGAGGTTAATGTCAGATAAGGAAGAATCTCCAAGGACATTCTGAAGCAAAAATCTGCAATCGACTTTGTGACTGGAATTCACATTACCTATGGTGGCTTAGAAAAGCCCAAGCTAAAAATAGAGTTTAAAGTGGTTGTGGCTTTATTCTTTTAATCTTTCCTTCCTTGTATATGTGTATCTGGATGCATATATTAAGCTATGAATGGACACACACACACAGAGATGGATGGATGGATAGGCAGATAAATAATATATATCATGAATAATCTACTAATAATATAAAATCTATACCCCCCCAACTTTCTGAATTCAGTGACCATTTAAAGAAAATGCTGACGACAACAGAACATAGTATATGACGCTATGGGAGAAGCAATCACCAATATAGACTGTGGCATTTTTTTAAATTTTATTTTCTAAAAATGGCTGGGAAATATACCCCATGTAATGTGCTGATGTTTTGGTTTTTAACGTGGTTTGCCATTCTACATTCGAAGATGGATTCCTTCCACATCCCCTAGCATGAGTGACTATGACTTCTTTAGCTAATTGATTAGGGTCAAGTCAGGAAGCAAAGCTAACAGTTGCAGGTGTAGCCAGGAAATTTTTTGCCATCTTGCACTTCTTAACTCGTGGAAATCAGCTGCCAAGGAACAAGTGTAAATACCATGTTGTGAGAAGTTCAAGCCCCATAGAAAAGCCCTGGAGGATAAAATGCTGTGTGGTGAGGTGGGGTAGCATGAAAGAGACATATACATCACCATGTGTGCGACAGTGCATGAGCATGCTGCATGGGGAAAAATGGACACAGAGAAGGCAGACACCTCATAGAAAGACAACATGTTGAACACATAAGTCACATACACAAGTGAGGAAGTAACCATGGGCAATCAGCCCAGTTAAGATGTTAACTTAGTTACCAGTTAACACCATCCAATACTATTTAACTTCAATACCAAGAGAGACTTCAAGCAAGAACTGTCCTGCAGAACCAGTGAACCCACAGAATAAAAACTAATAATAATCCATTTCTGTTGTTGTTTTAAAAGCCACACTTAGGTGTTCAATAGCTTGTTAATGGAAAAACAGTGCCATAGAAAGAGCAACAAGCAACCTTATTGTGCTGAACAAATTTGAAAGAAAAGACAATCAAGAGGTGTGAATGGAAAAATCTATAGACTTCAAAGTTTATAAATATTTTAAAATGGCAAGCGTGCAAATGACATTTGGGTCCTGATTTAAACAAATAAAATCTGTTTAAAGTTTATTATATTGGGCTGGTAAAATGCTTGTCATGAAAGAGTGAGGACCTGAGTTCAATTCCTATATTTAGTTGTAAAGTTTTTCATAAAATAATGTATTGATAATTGTTAAATGTTCTCAGTGGGAAGCAATCACATAAAGAAAGCTCTCTCCTTGCTTCTGCCCCCAACCTATAAAAATGAATTGTTTAGGCATAGAAGAAGTTAATGAACTTTGGTATTATCAGATTTTTTGAAATAAGTTTTGAGGGTCTGGAGAGATGGCTCAGTGGTTAAGAGCCCCTCCCCCTCCTTATCCAGAGGACCTAAGTTCAGTTCCCAGCACCCAGTCAGGTGGCCCACAAATGCCTGTAATTTCAGCTCCAGGGGATCCTAATGCTCTCTTTTGACCTCCGCAGACACCCACACACATGTGACATACACTCACACGGGCACACATATATAAACATAAATAAAAACAAGATGGCAAGAAGGAAGAATTGTCACCATTGTGCTTCTTAGTTATTTGCTCAGAGAATTAGCAGCTTAGAATATGAGACTCAGAGTTGGACACTGTAAAGCATTCAATAAAAGCCTGAAAAATAGACTGCATTTCTGTCATGGAGGCAAGGCATAGACACATCAGCAGCCAAACAACAGTCTTCAAATTGAAAATGTGTCATCTTATCTATTCTTCTTATAAATAATACAATGCAGATATGTTAATAGGAGTTCCCCCAATGATAATCCAAAATCAGGGCCTTATTTTTTTTATCAGTGACCACTTCAAGTTTTTATTCTGTAAAATTCTGCATTCTGACCTCCAGCATTCATTGGGAACATGCATCAGTCATTCTCATGCTTCCATAATTTCCCTCCTATTGAAATACAAGCCAGTCTTCATTTCTACCCTGCCACATGACTGAATGTGCCAGGCAATCACTGAATCCCATACTGCTATTTCCCTTAGGATTTCAGAGGCTGTCCAGGAAGCTCTCCTCTTGACCACCCTCTGTGCCAAAAAGTCGACACAGGCAAGGCCTTCAACTACAGTCCTTACTGCCACCTACCCAGACCTTCTGGAACGAGTCACACTGTGTGGAGTTCATCACTGCTTTCTCTCCCCCCACACCTTCTAAACGACAGCATCTCCTCTCTAATGAAATCTTCAGTTCTCTTCTATTCCCAGTTTTATGAGTTATGGGATTTACCTCTTCCTCACCCTCATCTGCAGCTCTAACCAGATAATCATTTCTCTTAGTCATCTACCTGGTATGTTTCTACACTCACAGGCTTTATCCTCTCTGGATGTTTTCCTTTGGCCATTCCATGTGATTCTAATACAGTTTCATGCTTCTCTTATATGGTGACAGTGAAAAGATAATGAGTTAATATATAATATAAAGTGCTTAGAAAATGACCTGGTTCATAGTCAGTAACCATTAAGTTTTTAACTCTTTTTACTTTTATTATTCATCTCTCATCCCCTACATGGTATTTTTGAAATTATTTGTGACCTAAAGTGACTTAAAGTAGCACTAGAGGTGGAGAAAATTAACCCGCTATAATAACAATTTAGGCAGCTCTCTTGAAAGATACCCTATACCACTAAAACATTTTCTTTGAGCTCATGACAATGCCACTAAACCAATGTTTGCAAACCCTAAAATATAAGAATAAAAAATTTCCTCCATACTTTATGGTTTGTAATATCCTGAGATGAATCTTTTAAGGAAAGGGGGGTGGGGGTATAAATGCTTACCAATAGCTTGTAACTGGATATCTGAAAAAATCTTTAATAATAAATCTTTGCTCATCCCCTAGCACTGAGAATTGATATGATTAAAGAGATGGAAATATCAATTACTCTGACCTGATCTGGTCATTATATACTGTCTACATGTTTCAAATTGTCACATTAAACCTATAAACAGATGTAATCAATTTTTTTATGTGTGTACAGTAGTGGGAATGGAACCTAGGGCCTTAAAATGTAGATAAGCACTCTATCACCTAGCTACGCACTTCCTAGCCCCTAAAAAAATTCTTGGAAAGGAAAAAAATCTGAGTCTATTTAACAGAGAGCAGGTGCCTTAATTAAATCTTTGATTACCACGTCTTCATGAAGGTGGTTACTACACCCAAACCAGAAGTGGGAAGACTGACGCATAAACACCTTCCTCCGATTTAAGTGAGTGCATCCTGAGACAGTACACCAAGGACCTTGTCAACCCAAACTGATCTTTGTATGATTTTCCATGATAGTCTAACTCTCAATAAAGCTCTCTTGGTTTTGAATCGATAGACATTGTCAGGAACTAAGAAGTCAGTCGAAGGCAATGACCACCACTTTTAGGGGCGCTTACCTTGAGCTTATGTTCTTTCCTGTTCACAATCACAGCCGTGATTTGCTGGTCCATGAAAATCAGAATGGTGACTAACAAGGCCGGGATAGCGGCAGCAAGGCCCACCCACCAGGGGTTTCCTCCAAATGGTGGGACAAACCAACCCCGGTTAGGACTTGTTGGCTAAAAGCAAAGAGAGAAACTTTTTCAGAACAATGTTACTATGTGCTATGTAGTTAAAGAAATACTTAATTTTTGGAGGGTCAACATATTAAGAAGTAGAAACAGTCACAGTCTGGAGGAAAAGATTATTTAACAGAAGTCTACCCAGAAGGTGTCATTTTTGAGGCAATCCCTAAAGGAAATGAAAACTATGGGCTATCGGAAAAGCAGGGGGAGACATTGCGAATACATGAAATGAGTTGAGATAAAGCATCGGGTGGAAAACAGAAAAGATAACATTTGAGGGACACAGAAGAAAACCCCAGATGTAATATTCCATGAAGAGGCAACCAAAAAATTACAAAGCCATCACAAATTCTGTTTGATTTTTAGCATTGAACAGAAGTTGTTTCTACTTCCGCCAAATAAATGGCTTCCTAACACATAAAAAGCTATTATTTTACATGGTATAGCTGAACTAATTGAAACATTTGGATCTCTTATTTTACAAGTGAAAATTACCCAGAAGTGATTAAATCCCCAGAGCCTTTTCAGAAAACCAGAGAAAGTTGCCATTTTCCCACTTCCACTAGCTTGTATATACCTGCTACAGAAAGCGAATGTTCTGTTGTTTCTTACTTTAAGAAAAGCATATGAATGTAAATATAATACTATTTATGAATTTGTTGCTCCTTTTTTATTTTTTCTTTTTGAGAGAGGGTCTTATTCTACAGCCCAGGCTGACCTGGAATTGCCTATGTAACACAGGCTGACATTGAACTTATAGCAATCCTCGTGCCTCAGTCTCCTGAGTGTGAGACTTACAGGCATAAATACAAACCCTGAATGCATGTCCTCTCTCCTTTTATTCAAAATTCCATCATGGAAACAGAATCCATCTTCACACTACCTGTACCACACATTGTGAGCTTGTAAGGCAGGATATTTCATCTTGCTTATTAAAGCATTTCAACCCCCTAGGATGGAGTCTGGCTCCAAGCAAACATTTAAAAAATACTGATTTAAATGCACTACTTATGAAATTAACTAGAATTTATCTTTGCTAATGACTATGATATTATGCCAAATATATTCTTTACTGTCATGTATGTGTATATGCATGCACATCCCTTTCTCATTAACTGGTTATTTAAAACTGCCATCAGCTTAATAATAATTGACATTATTATCTCAGTAGTGAAGAAGAGAGACTAAAGGACTGTTCTAGAAAATAAGTTAAATCTTGCAACAGAAAACTACATAGAAATATAACTATGAATGACTGACATTTAAATTTTATACATTACACACACACACACACACACACACACACACACACACACACACACACACACAAATTCTCCTGTACTCTTTGCAACAATTAAACTTCATATTATAAGTGTTCCTAGCAGGTATTTTGGCAGGAGGGAAAGACCCCTAAGTTAGAATGTGAAGGCTTGAATTCTACCTTCACAGCTTGCCCCCACTACTTAAAAAGTGATAGGCATTTCACTTAGTGTTTATGAGCATTAGTGGTTTATAAAACAGCCATGGTGCTAGTTATGTGTGCACTTTCCAGAACTGCTACATGAATCAGGCCGATCAGGTCTATAAGAGCGTCTGAAATATCCTAAAATATATAAGGAAGAGTTAGTTCATGCTATACGCTATTTTAAAATAAAAGTCAATAAAGCACAAACCCTGAATTGATCTTAACTGTGGCATTTAATTTGGGTGAAGAAACTAGACCAACTCTAAATGAGCCTAGTGAGGGATGACTTTGAGGGGGAAAAGGCTAATTACGAAAAACTGACTGAAGTAAATTCACAATAAACTACATTAGGGAAAAAGAAAGAAAGCCAAAGGGTTTGAGGACCAAGCAAAAGAGAGACAACCACTCACCTTGAACTCACTTGGCACAATTAGTTTTGGAGTGTCCACACCTACCAGGGCATCTATTACACAGAATATGAGAATAGACAAGATAATGGCAAAATCACTGATCAGTTTTCTTGCCTGGAAAAATAAAAAAAGAAACAAAGGATTATTTAGTACCAGGTACTTAGTGCCAGTGACTATGTTTGAAGTGAAAAAGAATTAGATATTTACGAACAACTTATCAATAAATTATCCTCTGGTCAGACATAGGAGAAATCACTCAAACAGGATATATCCTTTGTCCTATGTGCAGCATGAAAGACATTTGATTAAGAATAAAATCTAAGTACACATTACACAATGAAATAGAACTCAGTTTATTTGGAAAGTAGTGCTGTAAGTAATAAATAAAACAAGAGTGTCTTAGTCACTCTTCTATTGCTGTGAAGAGACACCATGATCAAGGCAACTACTGTAAAAGAAAGTATTTAATCAGGGGCTTGCTTATGTTTTGGAGGTTAGTCCATTGTCATCGTAGGCACACAGACAGGGATGGTGGTGAAGTAGCTAAGAGTTTTACATCTGTAGATCTAGATCTGTAGGCAGAAAGAAAAAGACTGGGCCTGGCATGGACTTTGGAAACCTCAAAGCCCACCCCCAATGACATGCTTCCTCCAAAAAGGCCACACCTCCTAGTCCTTAGAATCCTTTCAAAGAGTTCCATTTCCTGGTGACTAAGCATTCAAATATATGAGCCTATGGGTCCATTCTTATTCAAACCATCATTAAGTGGCTTGAGAATGGCACATATCTATCAGGAGAAGATTCCAAGTTCCAATCCACTGATCAAAATCAATTTCAAGATCCACAGTAAAGTCCAGAGATGGTACATAGAAACTAAAGACTACACAAGCTTTGTCTAAGAAAGCATCCCTTGTTGGGCTAGTACTGGAATGCTCCTTGATGTAAGGAATCTCTTCATTGCTAAAGTATGATCAACATTATTTGGTCATCCAATGTCCTAGGTGTCTCCTCTGGTCAGGACAAGGTCCGAGCATTAAACTCTATGATTTCCCATGAAGAGGTGCAGAATGACTATTTACAACTCATTAAGAGAAGCACAGGACTTTTTGGTTGTATTTGGGTGCCTCTGTAGCTATAAGAGGCACTACTAGGGGCCGATTAGCTTAACTAGAACAGACAACTGAGATTCTTACAGGAGAAAACACTTACAGGAGATATGTCACTGAATTGTTCATTAAAAACTACTCAGTTCTTAATATTTTCCTTGGTAATAAGAACATCTTATTAGTGAACAAAATGGAAATAATCTATGTCTTCATGAAGCTCCAAGCTATGTTATATGCAACAAAGCTTGCTCCTACGTAGAATTAAGGTTGACTTCAACATCAAGGCAAATGGTCAGTTTTCTGGTGTGGCTAGATGGCAGGGATGGACTGGTGAAGTGCATGGTTCTCAAGAAAATGGGCTCCAGAAAGCGAAACCATCTCCATGTGTTCAGTAGGAGCCGAAGCAAGGAATGGAAATTACACAATGATGCAGCATGCTTGAAGGAGCTCAGGGCTTAATTCTTAGGCTTTATCAGGTGTGCTAGCTAGCAGTCAGATTAAAGATGCTTCCTCTGGCTGGGAATTCTTCGTCTTCCAGAAGGTCAGATTCTGCTAGCTTGAGTTTGCTCAAGAAGTATACATCATGGAAGAAAAGACCAGCTGTCAGGGATGGGTTCACTTCAATTACATAGAATAATGTCAAAGAGAAATAGATGACAGAAATCAAATGAGAGAAACTTAGGATAACAGTTATGATCACAGTTGCTATAGGCAGATGAGATGGACGGGACTTTCATCATCATTATCATGATATAAATACACAGCCTTTATTAGCTTCAATTGCTTTATCTGAAAAAGATCGTCAGAATAATACTACCAACTTCACAGTGCTTTTCTTTATCAGAATTTAAAATGATTAACCATGAAAGTATTCAACATAATGTCTGGATGAATTATTATTGTTATTTTATGTTCCAGAAGGACTCTTGACTGCAAAGACTACTCAAATAATTAGATTATCTACTGCCAAGACTCAGGGATGGATCTTTAACTCTCAGAAACAAAAATTTCAAAGTTCAGAAATCATATTAAACTGCTACACAGAGAGACTATTTTGATTAGAAATTCCTAGGGTTGATGCTTTCCAGGGCCTCAATAGTAGATGAAACTCTTTGGTTAAATTTTATGCAAATAGTGTTGACAATAGCAGTTTGGGACAATAGCCTGGTAAAGGTTGGTCCTAGAGAGCAGATCCAGTAGTATGTTAGGATGTTACAACATCTCTTTATTCTAGGAGGCCACAAATGCCTGTAAAACCAGAGTATACTCAAGTCCAGCAGTTCTTACTAATATTTATTATTCCCCTAAACCTCACCCATGAAAAAAATCTAAGCAAACAACTCAAATATCCTATACATTATTTAAAGAGGTGGGACTGGTTATTTTAAAATACAAGTTACTCCTTTTTCTGTAATAGCGAAGGGACACTAATGAAAGCAGTCTGCAATTCCAAGGTCCAAGTTCTCATAGCACCTACGTGTCCACCTGTGGAAGCCCCGATGCACTGCAATCATTACCGGCACCAGGCAGAGAAGGGGCAGTGTCTTGGGCCTTTTGTAAGTGGACTACCCTGCCAATCCAACGTGGCCAACTGGATGTCATCACTGAGTTTACTTGTGGGGTTTCTAACTTGGCCCTTGTTTGGCTCTGGATCTCAAATGTCTCCCATAGGCTTTTATGTATTTTTCACCTGGTTTCCAGCTGATAGCACTGTTTGGGAAGAGATGAGTGAGGCCTGTCTGATAGGGGGTGGAACTCTGGGGGAGGACTTTTGGGGGGATGATAACTTGGTCTTGATTCTGGTTAGTTGCCATGTTGGAAGGCACAACTGCACGGTCCTGCAGCCTCAGATGACCCAGCAACCATGCCTTCCCACTTGTGATGGTCTGTATCCCTGAACCATGATGGAAGAAACTCTTCCTTCATGAAGTTCAAGAAAAGTAAATGATATGAACCACATATGGGCCTGTATACTTGGGGATACAGATCAGAGCACAAGTTGGAAACTACCATGAGAGAAAATCCCCTCAAAAATGCTTAGAAACTATTTAAGGTCTGTATCTATATAAGAAATGATCTTTCAACTATATTTTAATATTTATGGGATATATAATACTTTCTAAAACTTGTTGAACTTTAATCACTGTGCTATTGAAATCATACCTCATCTTTTTTTTTTTTTTTTTTTTTTTTTTTTTTTTTTTTTTTTTTTTTTGAGACAGAGTCTCTCTACATAGCCCTGGCTGTCCTGGAACTCACTAGGTAGACCAGTGTGGCCTCAAACTTAATGAGATCCACCTGCCTCTACTTCCCAAGTGCTGGAATTAAAGTATGCACTACTACCACACCTGGCTAAATAACTCAGTTTAAAATATGTTTCTACCCCCATAAAAAATTCATAGAATTTCCTAGATTTGCCCCAAATTCATGGCAATATATGACAGAGGTACTGAAGGCAAACACATGTGAAGAAGAGAAACCATGTAGGATGCTAACGTGGTAATCGATATGAGGTTACATAATATGATCCCAGGTATGTTTTCAAGATAATTGTTAATACAGGATATTCTTAGTAGGTTGAAAGGGTATTTCTTTTAGCCTGAACAATAGAATAAATTAAGCTGCCATCTATTAAGATGGAGAACATTAGTGAAGGAGAAGGCTTGGATGTCAGTGGTCAGGCAGGCTGGGCTGGGGAGCATGAACTAGGGGAGGATAAGCACTTAATTTTTTGACATAATTTTGAAATACTTCTAACAAGCTATCACGTTGAGTCAAAGTGGTAAAGCCTGAGGAAGTCTGACCAGCCCTTTTACTGGCCTTGAGGTTGAATGAAGGGGTCTGAGCACCAATGACAGCAGACAATGCTTAGAAAGAAACAGGAAACGCATTGTTCCAAATCACTATATTGTCTCCCCGCTGTTTGCTTGGGAAGTTATATGATTATTTCAATAGTGTTGCTGTTTTTCCAGATAATTTTAAAATTTCTTTTATGATTTTATTATTAAATGGATGGATGTTTGCTGGATTATACATATTAACCATCAGACATTTGTCTGAAATATCCATGATTCTTACTTATTTAAATTTATTTTTTATTTTTCTCACTTCAAAAAGTGCTTATATAGTCCTTGTAGAATACTTAGAAAAAATAAGAAAAAAGTGTTTTCTAATTCCTCTATATAGAAATAAACTCTAATATCTGAAATATATGAAAACACATCCTTACACTGTACATAAGTCTATTCACAGGTATGTGAACATATAATCTTTGACATTCTGATGTTTTGGGGTTTCTTTGAGATAAGGTCTCACTGTACATTTCCAGGTTTGCCTCAAAGACATGATCCTCCTGTCACAGCCTTCCAAGTGCTAAAATAACAGGCATGCACTATCACCCTCAGCTCACATTCTGTTTTGTTTGCCCTTTCATAGTTTTCCCATATCATTTGATATTTTCCACAACAGTGACATTAATGATGTCAAAATATAATGCTGAATGGATATCAAAAATTATTTTTTTCTAAAATCCTGCAGTTTAGATTGCTCCCAACTTTTTTACAATGAACAATATCATAAAGGAATATTTGCAAACGTCTGGGGCTATTTACTTAGAATAAATTACTATGGGCAGAATTGTCCTGTCAATGTGTATATAAAAATGTAAGGCTTTGGGGACATAACACCAAATCACCATCCAGAATGTAATATTGATTTACCAATTTCACTCTACCTAACATTCAAATGACTCTGGGTAATTTAAAAAGTTAAATCCATACTCAAAGGGAAAATAATTTGCTACTTCTGACAGAAGAATATAAAATAGCTAAATCTCATAAAACTGTCCTTCTGTGTGGCTTAGCAAACCACTGCATTTCATGTTCTATTCCAATTCTCATATTTCATATGGATTCTACATAAATGCATCACTCTTTTAAAATGACATTAATGTTTATTCTTAGAAGCATCTCATTCAATGGGATAAAGCCAACACAGAGAGCAAACACA